CTACAAACTAAGCTTTTGAATTTAAGATGTAAGTTTCTAATCACCACTAAGATCTTGGACAGTGTATGTAGGATGTATTAACACATATGTAGGATGTATTAAGATTCATTTTAATGTTTAGATGGTCCATTTGTTTCTTTAAAAAGTAAAATAATAGGAAAATAGGCCTATTTAAAAATAGGTAATTATACATATAGTCCTATTTTGGTAGAGATGAGGTAGTGTACGAACACTTACTTGAAAAAAAGAAAAAAAAAAACCAAAGCCATAACCATCTCTTAAATCCTATAACAAGGGGAAAAGTGGGATGGCAAAACCTTAGCAAAATGTGTAGGGCTAGTGCTGGCTGCAGGACAGCCCTGCACAGAGGCTGTGGTCCCTGACTGAGAGGACTAATGGGTGTCACTATGCAAATTTGCTGGCCCACACATCAAAGGTCTGATCCAGCAGAGTTTTAAAAGAGAAACCAAGAGAGGAAAGAGGAACGCAAAGGAGAGTAAGGGAATACAAAGGGAAGAGGCTCGTCCCAACTAAACTTCAAACTAGACAACAACAAACTGATTGGTCGGGCATTTTTATTGAAAGCCCAGAAGTAGCTTACCTGTTCCAGTGTGGGTTTGTGACCAATAATTTTGTCAATGCAAAGTGCTTTAACAATACCTAATTTTGCACCCCCAAAGCCTTTGGTCAACCTATCATTGAACAGCATCAGGAGGAATATAGTGTATTTTGAAACCTTCAAATTTGAAACATTTTAAAGAGCTGGGCTCTCGTCTCTTAATAAGGTCACGAAGGCATTAAAACAACAGTTCTGATTGTAGAGGAAAGCGCCATTTAGACCAGTGCTTCTCCAAACAAGAGTCTGAAGTCTGACGGCAGCAACATCACTGCGCAGTTTGTTAGGATGCAAATTCTCCAGGCCCAACCCTGAGCTATGGAATGAGAATCATTGAAGGTGGGGCTCAACAGCCTGTTTTAACAAGGTTTTCCTGTAATCCTTGTGTGTGCTAAAGTTTGCAAAGCACTGATTTAGACTACTGTTTATCCAAGTGCAGATTACAACCCCTTAGGGGGTTATAAAATCAATCCAATAAGCGGTGACCAGCCTTTTACAAAAGTGAAGTCAAATAGAAAGCAGAGTGCATTTCTGATAGCATGGGTATTATCTCAAAAATCCGTTGCAGTTCTACATATGTGTATACCTGTGTGTACTCATTTGGATGAAGCAGCACTTTTAATTTTTGAAGAACTGGTAGGTATAATAAAGAAGTGACGGCTGGGCGCGGTGGCTCACGCCTGTAATCCCAGCACTTTGGGAAGCCGAGGTGGGTGGATCACAATTTCTGGAGTTCAAGACCAGCCTGGCCAACATGGTGAAGCCCTGTCTCTACTAAAAATACAAAAAAATGAGCTGGGCATGATGGCATGTGCCTGTATCCCAGCTACTCCAGAGGCTGAGGCAGGAGAATCGCTTGAACCTGGGAGGCGGAGGTTGCAGTGAGCCCAGATCCCACCACTGCACTCCAGCCTGGCGACAGAGCAAGACTCCATCTCAAAATAAATAAATAAATAAAGAAGCGACACATTTTCAATGAAGGCAGAACTATTTGGTTGACAATAACATACATCGAAAGCTTCATGCTGGTGACTGGAGAGAGATGAGAAAGGTGAGGAGAGAGGAAAGAGGGCCAAGGAAAGAACATAGAAGGCCAGCATTTTATCTCCAGAATCCTTGTGGGGAAAGAAACAAAAAGGCCCACCAGTCAGGAGGTGGAAGGGGCATCCACCACAAGGGAAATGTCAAGGAGAATAAGAACATAAGTTAATGAGTGACATTCAAGAAATAATCGTTTTAGTACAACTGGTGAAGATATATGTATTCACTCACTCATTCATTCATTCATCCATTCATTCACAAAACATTTTTTGTACCATTGCAAGACCAGACACTATGTTAAACACTGGAGGTCCAGACATGAAGTTTATCATGGAGCCAATTGTGACAAGCAAGATGTGTAATAACAATAACATGATCAGAGCTATGAAGGAGTTATTGTACAGCACTGAGTGGGAACACTGAAGTCAGTCTGTGATGCTGGGATGGGGAAGGAGGTGGCAGGAAACATCTGCAGAGGGCACTTAACCAAAATAATGACCATATCTTTTTTTTTTTTTTTTTTTTTTGCCCCCTCTAAGCAGGACGTCAAAAAATTTGGTGGTGAACTCACAATTGTTCCTCTCCACGGAAATCTTTAGTAAAAGGCGAAAGATTTAATAATGACCATATCTTTTTCTTTGTTGCTTTTGTTGAGACAGAGTCTTGCTTTGTCGCCCAGACTGGAGTGCAGTGGCCAGATCTCAGCTCACTGCAAGCTCCGCCTCCCGGGTCACGCCATTCTCTTGCCTCAGCCTCCCGAGTAGCTGGGACTACAGACGCCTGTCACCTCGCCCAGCTAGGTTTTTGTATTTTTTAGTAGAGATAGGGTTTCACCGTGTTAGCCAGGATGGTCTCGATCTCCTGACCTTGTGATCCGCCCGAATAATGACCATATCTTAACATGATATTGCATATAAAGCACTGAGTACCTTTGTTTTTCCATTAAATATGTGTGTTTGTGTACATAGATACACGATGCATGTCTTTATATGTATACATATATTCTCCGTTTGTTTAAAAACTTGATTCCCATACCCTAAGAGTGATGAAAATCATTACATAAACGACTTATTGCAAATAGTGAAAAATGACAAAGTATTTATTTCTGTAGTTTCATAAAACACCACTTGCTATTATTTTCAAGTAGAGACTAGACATTTTCAAAATGGGAGTCTCAGAGCAGGCTATTCCCAGGGTATCCAGACCCCACTCTGCCGTGAAGAGACCACACCAACACCGAGGAATGCACTGAAGAGAATTTTATTACATTCAATTTTAGAGAAGTTATAGGATCTTAAAGATGCAGGTGCCCTAGGATTTAACACAAAAAGTCGGCCAGGTGCGGTAGCTCACACCTGTAATCCCAGCACTTTGGGAGACCGAGGCGGGTGGATCACTTGAGGACAGGAGTTCGAGACCAGTCTGGCCAACATGGTGAAACCCTGTCTCTACTAAAAATACAAAATTAGCCAGGTGTGGTGGCACGCGCCTGTAATCCCAGCTATTCTGGAGGAGGAGGCAGGAGAATCGCTCGAACCCGGGAGGAGGTTGCAGTGAGCCGAGATCGCACCACTGCACTCCAGCCTGGGTGACTGAGCGAGACTCGGTCTCAAAAACAAAAACAAAAACAAAAACAAACCTGAAGTCCAAAAAAGTAAAATAATTTGCTCACTACATATAATTTGGTTTGGTGTTGGGCCTAGATCTTAGGTTTTGTGAGTCAGGTGCAGCATTCCTGGCACGACGGTTTTTGCCCTACCACGGAAGGTCAAGTTGGATTATCCCGAGTTCTTCCAACTCTGCGCTTCCTCCCAGGTTGGTGTTTCATGAGTGAGTCTAATTCAGATCAAGCTGGCTTTTGAGAGTCTGTTTTTTTTAAATCAGTGTGTAACACCAACACCCACCGAAATCAAATGGCTCTGGGCACAGGACACAGCCATTCACGCCCCCTGCCAGGAAAAGCTGCAGCTGACACAGGCTCCTCCAGCGTCGGCGGGCCACGTGCGGGAGGAGGGGCCGCCTTCTGGTTGGCGCCGGGTGTCCGTCCCTCCTATCAGCGTAGGCCCCGCGAGGAAGACACGGGCTCGCCCTGGCTGGCGGGGCGGGGCCAGACACCTGTCCATCACCGAGTCCACGGGTGGCAGCACCTACCACACCGCAGTACCTTGGAGAGGCGGAGCAGGGGC